GGTGTTTGAGTCTATTCTGAGGAAGAAGTCAAATTTTTATTAAATCCATCTCAAATTTGGTTGCTTTGCCACAAGGGCTAGGATGCAATGTTTCTGAGAGCTATACAATTTCAAAAGATTTTCATCAACTATCGTACCATCAGCGTAACCCTAGCAATGCTTCAAAAAATGGAATTGCTATAAATGTAGTTAATGGTTTAGGCACCTCCAAAGGAACAGTGGGATATGAACATATATAACTTTATATGAATATGGAAATCAGATGCCTGAGTTATAAAAGAGCATGTTTCTCAGCATCGCTATGTTTATTGTGGCTACCTTTGCTTTGGGGCTACTATTTTGCCAGGCTAAGGAGTCTACCAATACTGAAAGGCTCACAAACTGCCATTAAGGCTTTGATATGCAGGAATGCTTCTTTAATTGTAGCAATAAAGAACACGAATTCTGCTTCTGGAGTTCTTCTTAACTGAGCCTGTAACTTCTTGTAATCGCTTAAATGTATCTGAGTAAAATTAGTCTTAACAAAAGTCATAAATATTAATTAAATTTTCATCTTAATTCAATCCAACAGGATGCATCTTGGTTGTGAGGATATATTTCTTGTAACTCCAAGACAGAAAAATTTCTGTTTCAGGGACGGAAGTAGGATACCATTATGTTTTATTCACTCCCTGAATAGGTGGACACATGTAAATGGCCTATTGGGAACGGCCCCGGGAATATCTCAATTGCTCAGCATGACCTTTTGAACTGCCTTTTGAGGCAATTTAGCCAGCCAGCTCTCCTAGACATGATTTACAGCATGACTCAGGCCTGTCACTTCTTTTCATCTCCCTCTCCATCAGCTGCTGGAAGAATTAAATGCAGATACCAGATAAGTACAAATTTGTTAGCATCCCAATCCTATTACAAATATATGGAGCACCCATATTACACATGATAATTAATCTAACCCTGTTTGGGACAGACTGCAATTCAGAGTGCTGAAGAGACCCCGCTTGTTCTCAGGAGAAAGAGTGCCTGTACTCTTTGAATGGCACAGTTATGGTGTCCAAGAAAGGATGAGCAACGCTAACAACTGGTTAAAATAAAAAACCAGCTACTCTGAAGAGGGCAGTTAGGAAAGGCTTGTCCACTGACCACTGACACTGGGCCAAGGAAGTTGTGGGAAAAACATACAGGAGTTTCAACAGTTTGTTTTACTGCTTTCCTTTCTGTCAAGATTGCTAGAAGTCTTTGCTACAGTACTGTCAGAAACCATTTTTTGAACAGGAAGAATTTTTTGAGCCATCTTCTTGTGCTTGACTCAATGCCCATGAGCAAAGTGCATGAAAGACACACTTCAAGTCAAAAATTAAACTGAAGACCAAGATTTCATACGGTATCAATATTCAGCCCACCTTCAAACATACCCTGGTGGGACTGTCATTTGCTAAAGGCTGGATTTTTGTGAAAAAATCAGTAATGTCTTTCAGCAGCAGCTCTTAGATAACAGGATTGTACAGCTCAGCCTGTGAGCTCAGAGTGCTAAGCATAGGTGCTGATCACAGACTACTCTGGGTCAGAGTTCAAAGACCATAAAAAAAGAGGTGAAAACAGAAAAAGGTAGCTTAGATCCAGAACGGAGAGAAGACAAACTATGCATAGTTGACTAACATATGTGGTACTGGTCGGAGGGAAGTATGTAGAGCATTTCCGTCCCAACCTTCTCCAAATATTAAAGTCAATCCTGTTGAGTGACTGAGGGAAGGAAAAACTTACCATTTTTTCTGGACAGACTGGGCACAGGGGAATTGTATTGGAGGCACACCAACAATTCATATTAGCCACTGTAAGAGAACACAAAAATGATGAGCTATGTAGATCTCTCTCGTCAAAGGAGGAAAATTCTGAATAGAAAAGGAGATTTTGAATCATTTGCAAGACAAATCAATTGAACAAGTGGATTCTTGGCTCTGTGGTGCAAAGGGAAAACAAAGATGAGCTACCAGAAGGTGTCTACCCCAAGGCAGAAGGAGGAACCAGGAAACTCTGTCCAGTGACAGCTGAAAAAGACAATACAAACACATGAGGAAGCCCTGTAAGAAATGACAATCTAAAGAATAGCTATAGGGTTTTTAAAAGTTGATTTAAAACTGGCATATAATCCCATGCAGTTGACACTGCCAGTATCAAATAAATAACTAGACTAAGCCCACCATGCTCCCCATCATCACCAGAGGACCCGAAAGTAGGGCGGCTTCTCATTTTAGTGAATATTGCTTCTGTTTCCCACTAGTGAAAAACACAGCCTGATTGAAAGGGTTCTTTAGAAAATGCTATCATTATTTTAAATCCTCTGGGTCAAATTCTTTTTGTACTTGAGTAAATACTGAGTAATAATAATTTACACTGATCCTATCAGAAATAGTAAAGGAAATGGGTTTAGCTATAACTCATGAAGGTAGTTTTTCTCACAACATCAGAGAAAAGCTATTTCTGCAAAAAGGATTTTAAAGGTTCTTGTAACCACACCATGAAACCTTCTCTATAGCATTCAAACAGTTCTGCTTTACTATTGAAGATAATACCACATAAATACAACTTAATCCCGGCATCTGAACTGCCTTCTGCAACATATGTATGATCTTTCCATTTTTATACACAACAAATCTGATAAACAGAGATTATATAAAGAGAGCTCGTTGGAGCATTTACAGCATGAGTGTAGCACAGACTAGTTTCCTTCTTTTCAAGTAATCCCAACATATACAGCCAGAGGAGTCTGATAATTAGAAGACTGACTTCTGTTAGGAAAAAGAAAACAATTCGTGTTAAAAAAATTCTCCAGCTTTGAGCATTCTTTACTTTGTGCTGAATATTTTTAAATGTTTAAGATTCTAAAAACTCTATCACAAAAGAAATAAAATTTCTGCTTTATTTTGCCATTTATGTATATATATACAATGTCACCATCTCTGTTCTCAACAGCCCTTGTTCAAAGAGTAAGAATAAAGAAGATAAGGAGGCACAAACATAGAAATAGCTGTTAGGATTAGGAGTAAAACAAAATCTCAAAAGTATTTCGGACAAAATTATCACAGATAAGCAAACTCTTCAATGCCCATCCCTCAAGAAGATGGGCACGGGGAGAAACAGAATGTGCAAAAGTTGGGGCTGGAACCAGAAAACAGAAGGCACAGAGCAGTAGATAGAAAAGATTTGTGAGAAAACACTGCAAAGACCTGTATTCACACTTGAAAAAGTGTGACGATTCAGATACTGACAGCCACTTGAAAGATAACCCTGAAGAAGAGCACTAGCTTTCTTGTGAAGGCATTCTGGCATAGTTTAAATTGCATTGTTTATTCCTCTAAATAGGCAGATAAGCCCAAGAAGTACAGGAAAGTACAAATGCATTTCTAAGTGGAATCGTCTGCAATATAAAAATTATTGAAGTAATAATCCTGTGGTCCTCTAAATAGCTTTCATTTGTATTTCTTCCATTCAATTAAAACCAACCAAATAATGCTGATTGGCTGCAAGATGAAGTGCTGAAGTAACTGGAACATGGAGAGGTGCAGTGCAACTCCAACGGGCTGCACAATGCACAGAGGCACTCCACTAGGAAAAATCTGGCAGTGAGGAGGTTGTAGCCATCCTGTACAGGCAGGAGCGAGCAAAATGACGGGCACTTAAGTAGGGAAGTATCTGCAATACAAAGCTGTTTCACTAGTTTTGCAAAGTTGCCATCACAATTGTTCTCACTGAGCAGCATTTTCTAGTAACTCTGGTTTATTTATAAAACAAAATGGCTAGAGCCAAATAAGTCTGTACAAGTAGTGAAAAATCTCAAACAGTTGGAACCAGACATGCCAGACAGGCACCAAGAAGAGGCATAATAGAGAGTCCTACGGGTACCTGTGAGTGGAACAGGTCCCTGATGTCCTGTGGGGTCCACCTGGTCCTTCCTGGCTTTCTTCAAGGAGCTGGAGAAACTACCATCGCATTTCATGTCTGTGGGCAGTACGACACAGGATAAGCTTTGCATGTTGAGTCAATGTGCTGACTAACAGAGTACAGGGTGTGAGATGAGAGCATTGTCCTGCCTATTAGTATAAGCCTGTGTGGCTGCATGGTTATTTCCAGGGGTTATTTCCAACCCAGTGCTGGACTGCTCTGAGAGGCCACAAGCATCCCCGTGGTCCTTGCAGGGAGTCCAAACAAGGCTGACAGGAAATCTCACTCAGTCCAAAGCCCAGGAGGTACGTGCAACTTCTTTACTGCAGAAAATTGCCTTCATCTACTAAGGACATAGAAATGTTGTATGGCAAATGTGGCCAACCTCAGTGCTCGGATAAAAGGACTTACAGATTATACCACCACCAAAATCAGGTGCCCCGGTCTCCTCACAGCACTCAGTATTCACCAGATAGCTCTGAGCAATGTGGAAAGAGATCATAAACTCTACAAGTCAGCCAATCAACAAGAGAGGACAATACACTTCTCTTTGGAAATGGGATATTATGCAGTGCTCCCTGCTCTCACAGCATTGCCATCTAGCCATGGTTTGTTCTAATTAGCTCTCTCCTGCACAAACCAGAACCTACAAAATGTCTTACAGACCCACTTCAAACTGAGCATCTGCATGGGCTGTGTCTGGAAACGAAAGCCTGAGAAAAGGGCTCCACTTGGTATTGTCAAAGATGTAGGTTTTACTCATTACACACTTTCAAATCTAAATTCCTCTGGGGCTTTTCTGACTTCCAGAGCAAGTCCCTGAAGACAGAGAATTATACTGGTATGCTGTTAGCAGAATCAACCCCCCGATTTACTACTCAGTAGCTCAGAGCAGAAAAGCTAAAGTATCGCTCCATCCCTCCTCCTCCTGGACCAATCTCTGCCCTCTGGTATATGAAAAATGTGTTTCGCAGCTCCAAATACCGATTCTTTTTGGGACTAAGATGCGACGCCTCCCCCCAGTCCAACTCAGCCGTCAGCGCGCTGCAGTGGTCCCTGAGCTCTGCCGAGGAGGGTGGCAGCAGCTGGCCCTGCCGCCTGCCTCCCACTGAGTTTCTCCTGCTCATCCTACGGGAGCAGAGGACAGCGAGTCCCGCAGCCTGCAGGTGTCTCCCAGCGGAGGAGGCTGCGGAGCCCCTTGGGATCATGTGTGGTACCCGAGCAGATGTTCACTTGCTCTTGGTGCTCTGTGTGAGACAGACCCTCTCTGATCCCGTCAGCGCACTGAAGCACACCGACTACGAGAGGATGGCCGCACTCCCGCGCCTGCAGCTGCTCCTTTAACGGACAAAGGCAGGATTTCAAGTGAAGAGAAGAATGGGAGTCTGGCTGCAGCTTTTCCTTCCCTGCTACAACAACAGATTGGAAGAAGCTGAGAGTTTTGATGCCTGGAAAACTGGATTCTGAATCGTGAAAGGCTTTCAACTCGCCCCCCCCCCTCCCAAATAAAACAACCCCCTTTGACTTCTTCTCTCAGCAGGAGGGGGAGGGAGGGCGGATTTACCATGAAGACAAATCGAAGATGCAGAGCCCTGCTAGCAGTGAGTCTGAATCTGATGGCTCTCCTCTTCTCTACAACAGCTTTTATCACGACCCACTGGTGTGAGGGCACACAGAGGGTCCCCAAGCCGAGCTGTGGGAAAGAGAAGAAGACAAACTGCCTCAACTACAGCGGGAATGAGACTGCAAATGAGACAAACCAGAATGTGGTTCATTACAGCTGGGAGACGGGAGATGACCGCTTCCTTTTCAGGTATTTCCACACTGGGATCTGGTACTCCTGTGAGGAAAATATCAATGCTGCTGGTAAGTATAAACCAACTTCCTTCCAGCTTGTGTTGCTTTGTTTGGCTCAGTGTGATAAACACACAGGCAAGCTGTTCTGTGCTGTATCTTAAAGCAGATTCGCCCTGCAGAGAGAGGCAGGATTTTAACAGTTCTTTGTTGAAAAGCAACCTGTTTCCAGTGAGAGCAAGGATTTGCTTGTTTACCTGCTGGCTGATGCAGGGTCTGAACCAGCCAGCTGAACCTCCGATAAGCAGTGTGTGCTACCCTCACGGGCACTGCAGCCAGAGACTGGTCAGTGCTTCCCATCTGGGAGCTGCTCCATAGAGCGCACAAAAACCAGTGGCTGGTACTTGTTAAGGAGGTTCTGACATCTAATTGTAACTGCCTCTGAGATAACCCCTAGGACAGTGGTATGAATGACAGGAAAAGCACAAAGGTCACAGTTTTTATCATGCTGTAGCCCAGACTGCTGCTTTTCTGGTATCCCTTCAGTGAATGATCGCCCAACAAACCCTTCCCGGTGGCTGGATTGCATGTTTATTGGAGTAGAGTAGAGAAATGGCAGGTAAAGGGCACAGCTGGGCACAAGAAAGCTCATTTCTGTTCCCTGCTCAGCCATTTACTTGCTGAGAACCACTCGAGAAGACACCTCTCCAGCTTCTCAGTGCATTCATTTCCTCTGCTGTACCCTGGCACTTACCAAGAAATAAACCACTGGAGGGTGGAAGGAAGGTAGCAGCCATGGGGACTGATTTAAGTCTCAACAGATGCAAGCTGGCAGTCCCTACTCCCAGAGCTGTCTGGTAGAGCTAAGATCCAAACTCTGCCTGTGAAAGAGCTTTTTTCTAGGTTATGTGACTGGAAAATAAAGTTTACAAATGTGACACAGTAGAGATGATGATGGCTCGTGGATACTGGTTCCTCCTTGCTGGGCTGTTTCCATTCTGTTGCCCAAGGATTGGGCTGGGGAGTTGGTCCTTCACCACTGTTGGGAGAGGAACAGTTAATCATCCTACACGTGTCTCTGAGGACACGACCTCCCTGATTTATGAGGTCCTGGTAAAACCGCTTTGTAAGATGCACTATAAAGTGAGGGAAAGGTGGGGAGCAGCTCACAGTCCATTCCATCCCAAGGTACTGTGTATATTCAGTGGTATGTTTGAGGATAGTGCTTTGAGAATTAAAATTCAGTTTCATGTATGAAAAGTTCATGAACTTCGGCTGTGGGACCGTCAATAAGCAGCTCCATGCTGAAACGAGTGTACCAAAGTAACCCTGGTGACATTAGAAGAAAGTATAGAAAAAAATATTATTTGTCTTAGCCTTACTGATTTGGAAATAAACTTAGGCCACAGCAGCCTGAATGAGCAGCTTAAGACTCTCCAACTTTTTGAGCGTCTTAGCTGGGATTGGGATGACCAAGCATGCTCAAATTTCTGGCAGATACTGAAAGCTTTCCAAGCCAAGATTTATGTGTGAGATAACTTGTAACTGTGTGACTCCAGCCCACTCAGAAAACTGAGTTATCTGTGGGAGAAGAGAAATGCAGCGATCTATTCTGTACTGGGTAAACAAAGCTGTGCTGTAGTGGGTGATTTCAGGAGATAGCTGGAAGCCAGCTTTAGAAAATTATGGTGAGAGCAGGAGAGAGAAGCCTGTTTCTCCCTCACCTCACCACCACAGCAGCCACGTGTGTTTCCTCTTATTTGAAACACTAACTTGATGAAAAGTTCTCTTCAGTTAGCAGACCAGGAGTGACCAACCTTTAGAAGGAATCCAGCCAGGTACAGGGATATATGGGCTTTAGACAGACAGCTGCTTCCTTCAGGATTTACCGTAGCTTTTCTGGTAAGGACAGGAAAGGTGAAATGGAAAGAGGTCTACATTTGTCTAAGAGTGTCAACATAAAATAACCATGAAAGGTCTTCATTCAGACTTCTGGGTTTGCAACACTGGACTGTCAAGGCCTTTTGCAGCCTGACTGGTCATCATTTTATCTGAGCTCCAGGGCAGTGAGGCACCAGCCAGCCCCAGTCCAGCAGCACTGTGATCATGCTTATACATACAGCCACAACACCCAACGTATCAGTGAGTAATCCATCCCATAGGCTCTGTCCACAGCACACGTACCAACCACAGTCCTGTAGGCATCACAAGTCATACAGTCACCGTGTTGTTAATAAACACCCTAAGATGCCAGGAGAACATCCAGAAAATACCACTAAGCACACAGACAGCAGTGTATCAAATCAGTCAAAATCCTAGCTTGAATGCACTCCATACTCTCAATAACACCTTCCTTAAAGCTTTACCAATAGCATACTGAAAATGACCGCAACAGCAGCCTTCCTCCAGGCACTCTCCTTTCAGTAGCCACTCCATACCCTCACACTTCTGTTAGCAGAACATAAAGCCACCACCTATGATCAGCACTGGTCCTGCAGCTCTTGGCCTGTCCCTGCTTCCTCACCACCCATGTCTGAGGCTAAGCAACATGAATCCCACCAGGAACACATGAATGCCAGTAACGCTCTGTTGTTGTGGTGCTGTCAAAACTCTCCAGAGACTCCTAACATTCCCAGCTGTGAGCCACACTCTTCATCCAGCCACCAGGCTTTTCATTTATCTCTCCTACAGTCATGGCACTGTCAAAACTTTCTGCTCTCTGCACTGGTGCAGCTGAAACACGGCTGGTCTTGTAGTGCCAATACAACAGGACCAGTTCCCAGAAGGCTGATACTACAAGGAAGGACAGGATCACTGGGCTTCCAGTTGGCTGGAGGGGCTGGGGCTCAGTCACACCTTAAAATGACATTTAGACTAGAATTTAAAAAAAAAAAAATTGAGTGTCTTCTCACTGCTTATTTGAAATGTCTATTTAGATTCCAGAGGTGGCGGTGCTAAGAGCATGCCATACACTCTCCATCAGAGACTCGTGAAGCAAACCTTCATCTTGTTGCAGGTTTTGAGTTTTCACTAACATCTCTAACAGAAATTAAATACTGTGATTATTTCTGAAATAATTTATGAATATAGAGTTTATTTTTATCCAGCATGTCTACGACAGCTGAAGAATCTGCAAAGCATTTAGCACCTGAGAAATATAATTGTGAATCCCCTCTGGGAATAGAAGGACATGAGAGTATGTATTTCATTGGTGGATGAGTCCTGTAATTATTTAGCACAATTTCTGACTCAAGAATATACTGAATCCCAGTCTACTAAAAAGAGGATGAAGGCTCTTCCTTCTAGGGTGGGTCCAATGCTTTGGATCCTGCATGGGTGGAGGCACCTTCTGTAAGAGCAATGCACTTAATCTCTAGAGAGAGATGAAGCTAAAGCATACCCTGCAAGCTCTGTAAGCCCGTGCTGGTCACGAGTCCTGCCCTGCACTCACACCCTGCACAGGGCACTTGCTGCCTCCTCCTGGACTGTGAATTTCTTGGCTATGGCCAGGCATCTAATTTCATTTCTTACTGAGCATGACTTTGAGTGCATATCTTATTTTACACCTCAGTCTAGGTCAGTGTTTGTGTCTGTACCGGTCATCTTCACGAGATACCAGACAAGTGGTGTGCTAATAGCAGCAGTGGGAAACTAGCTGGTAGATCCCATGACTCAAGAACATACATGCCATGAAAAAAATGAACATATGAAGTAGGTAAGGTGGCATACCTTATCCTAGCAGGTAGAGGAGTTTGAGAGCTGGGAAGCAATAACAAGTTAGCTGATTTTGCTCAATAGTGTGTTTATTTTGATTTTAATAGAAAAAAACCTCACAAACTCAGATCTTGGTTTAGTTGCTAATCAACAGGCAATCTCAGTAATAACATCCACATTCAGAGGGAAAAGCAGCTGCCTAGGTGCCTGTTAAGAGTATTACACAGAATCACAGAATATTCATGGTTGGAAGGGACCTTTGAGATCATTGAATCCAACCATAAAAAAAAACCAAAACCAAAATCAAACCAAACCAAACAAAAAAACCCCAATCAGACAAAAAACATACACCTACACCACACCCACCCACAGAGAGACAATCTCAGGCACTAGAGCACACCCTGAAGAGCCACGTCTACACATTTCTTAAATCCCTCCAGGGATGGTGACTCCACCACCTCCCTGGGCAGGCTGTTCCAGTGCCTGACCACCCCCTCAGTAAAGTAATTCTTCCTAATATCTAATCTAAACCTCCCCTGCCACAACTTTAGACCATTTCCTCTGCTCCTGTCATTATTCCCTTGGGAGAAGAGGCCAACCCCCACCTCTCTACAGCCTCCTTTCAGGTAGTTGTAGAAGGCAACAAGGTCCTCCCTCAGCCTTCTCTTCTCCAAACTCAACATGCCCAGTTTCCTCAGCCTCTGCTCATATGACTTGTTCTCTAGACCCCTCGCTTAGTGTATTATCCCATTAAATAAACAATGGGCTTTTCCATGTTGCTCACCATGCTCCATAGTACTGTATTATCCCATTAAATAAACAATGAGCTTTTCCATGTTGCTCACCATGCTCCATAGAAGCCAGAGAGATCAGGAATGGGTATCCATAGGCTTTTACTGTATTTTTGGAATTATATTTTGAGGGCAAGGGGTTTGTAACTCTTTGTATCACATATTCCTCAGCACTCTGTAAGGAGGAAATGGTAGAGTGGAACTTCCATGATATGTAAGGATGCATCAAAACGGGCCATAAATATGGACATTAAATGCACATTTGAGAAGGAGCCAGAGAATGAGAGAGGTGTATCCTGCAGAAAAGAATAAATCTGTAACATGTGAAGACAAGAACTTGCCACACACTTTCACGGATCCAGAGCGGTACTGCATCACCCTTCTCCCCCGCCACCCTGTGATCATAAGCATATGTGATTCACCATAGGCAGCTGTCCAGAGAGGGGGACCAGGGAGAAGCACCTCATGAGTATATAATTAAAAGCAAGAAGAATTGGGAATTCTTGCTGGATTATCGAGAAATACAATATAATTGGCATGACAAACCTGGCGGGTCTATTTGCATGA